ACATATTTGAAAAAAATTCGTCTTTTAAAAAATAATTCATTGGCTACAAAAAATGAATTAAAACATATATATTTATATTTTAACGAAAATCGGAATGAAATAGATAATAAAAATGAACGTTGTAAATACATTTCTTATAATTTAGACATGATATGGCAAGAATGGAATAACGAATATAAAACTATAATTAACGAAGGCGGTAAACTTTATTTCTTTGAATATTTAAGTAACAAGTTACATGATAAAATTAAACATATAATGGTTGACAAATTTATTAAACTTGGTTTCAAGTATGATTCATCAGTCCAAAAGATTGTTGTACCAATACCAATACCAAAACAATTAAATTTTGGTATGATCGATTTTTTGAAAAAATTAAGCCTTTTTATCTTACTAAATAAATTATTAGCTTCGATGCGAAGCTGAGAAGGTATTAATTTTACTATAATGTGTTTTTTTTTATTATTTTTTTTTTTTGTATCTGTGAACGCTCAATCTCAGCTCTCGCTGGACAGATTTTGATGAACAATATGTCAAAAGATCACAAATCGTATCTAGTCGAAGAAATTACTCTCAAAAATTGAAAAAAATTCTCTCTTTCCCCGTAAACGGGGGAAATCCCCCAAAAAATTACAAATTTAAAAATCGCTAATATTCGATATTTTTCAATTTTTTTTACTTAAAATTGCCATAACTTTTTTAAAAATGACCGAATCAATATAAACTTTTTTTTTATAGATACCTTAGATATTTATCTATCATTTTATATATTTTTGTGAACATTTGACCCTTTAACAGCCCACGGGAAGGGTTTAAAAATGGTAACTTTTTTATATTTGACTTATTTTCTAATTATTAAGTATATTTTTTCCACTAAAAACATGTATAAATAAATTTTATTTAAAAAATGTAGATTTCTTGAAAACAATTTATAATTAAAAAAAAATTAAAAAAGTGTTTATTTACTAATGGATATTTGATTTGCTAGTATGAAAATCAAAGGAATAATGTTTGTATATCATTTTATTTAAAATAATAATATTTAATATTTTTTTTTAAATTTAGATTTTTCATCAAATTATACAATTACTGATGAGATGACTGCACTTATGCAAACTGAATCTAATGAGGACACAATTTTAAGTAAGCTATTATTATATATTGTTTACAAAAGTGTAAAATACTGGAGCAAAAGTAGTTATTGATCAGTATTTTAGCTTCGATGCGAAGCTGAGAAGGTATTGGTTTTACTAAGATATGTTTTTTTTTTTTTTTTTTTTTTTTTT